CATCCTTGGGTTTGTTTGTTTGTTTGATTTTGTTTAACGTCCTATTAACAGCTAAGGTCATTTAAGGACGTCCTCCCCTGTGTGCAAGATGCATGCGTGTAGTGTATGTGCGTGTATTTTGGGAGGCTGCGATATGTTCGTGTTTGTCTTCTTGTAATAGCGCGGAACTGATGCCGACTTTATAGTGCTACCTCACTGAAACATACTGCCGAAGACACCCAGCAGGACGCCCCACCTGGTCACATTATACTGACAACGGGCGAACCAGTCATCCTTGGGCCAAGGGGACTAAATTTTGTATAAATTGTGGGTGTGGCGTCCCTGGGGACAGAGTGGTTGGTCCAAATAGGGGAAACGGAGGTAAAACCTTTAAAATTCTTCTTCTACCGTAGGGATACAGGGATTTTATCATAATTTTGTCTTGAGCAGCCTTGGATCAAGATGACTTGATTTGTATAAACAGTGGTTGTGGCCCCTTTGGGTGCAGAGGGACTCAAAAGGTGGATTTGAGGTTTAAATCTTTAAAAATCCCGGTTCTTCTGCACAATTGGAGGGATTTTATCCAAATGTGCCCTGGAGCATCTTTGGGCAAATGCGTCTTTATTTTTGTATTAACATCAGGTGTGGCCCCTCTGCATTGTGGCCCCTCTGGATGCAGAGCGGTGTGGCTCAAAAGGGGAATTTGAGGTTAAAATCATCAAAATCCCTCTCCTTCTGTACTATTGGAGGGATTTTATCCACATTTGACCTGGAGCATCCTTTGGTAAAGAGACTAAATTTTGTATAAATGGAAGGTGTAGCCCCTCTGGGTGTAGAGTTTCGGGGCCCAATAGGGAAATTTGAGGTTTTATTTTATGTAATAAGAATACTTTCCCATGGTTGCTTTATTATCCAGGTGAGCGATACAGACCCTCTCGGACTCGTGTTATCATATTTGTTAGTTAAAAGAACACTATATATATTTATTTATATCAAACCAATATATGTAAATGTTACTAAGTTTTCATGATAATATGATCGATCCACCTTTGTAGCAGGCTTGGTTTTATTTTTAAATTATAAATACCTTATACAAAATTTCCCTTTTTGTTTTTTCAGCTCAATAATCTACATGAAATAACACAACTCAGTCCAAACCAGGAGATGTCGTGTGAGTACGGCCTGGGGTCCTCCTCCCACAGAAACACCCCTTTAAGGTAAGGCAGGCAGTAATTTTCTCAGCCTTTTTTAGGCCTCACTTCTCTCCAAATTTTACTTGTATTTTCACCTACTTCAAAAAACAAGAGATCCCAGATCTAGAGGTATCATGGCACCAACCATCATAAGATTTTCATTAGTTTTACCTTTGTTTGAATTCTTCTCTTCTTTTCTCTTTTCTGGTAAATTGATAATCTGTTTACCAGTAAATGCGTCTTGTGGTAACTTTTAAAATATATTTTGTATACTGATAGATGGGTTTGAGAGTGTCCTTTCAAAGTAAGGTTTTTCGTACTTCTTGAGGAAAAGCAATAACACATACTTTGAACTGTCAAAATCCAAGATGGCTACCTAGCAGCCATCTTGTTTTTCCAATCAATCTCAAAATGAAAGTGATTCTTGAGAAATAATGATGTTTAACAACCTTGAACTTTCAAATTCAAATATCTTGTTTTTTTGATCAGTCTTAAAATTAAATTCACAACTGAAGACAAAGGGGAACCCTCATATGAAATTTAAGAAAGACGTCGTCTGTGCATATTGAGAAATAGTGATAACCACAGACGAGGGGGCTATAGGATAGACGGCGGTCGGTTGATGGACCACAGACGAGGGGGCTATAGGATAGAGGACGGACAGTTGATAGACCACAGACGATGGGGCTATAGGAAAGACGACGGTTGGTTGATAGACTACAGACGAGGGGGCTATAGGATAGACTACGGACGGTGGATAGACCACAGACGAGGGGGCTATAGGATAGACGGCGGCGGACGGTGGATAGACCACAGACGAGGGGGCTATAGGATAGACCACAGACGAGGGGGCTATAGGATAGACGACGGACGGTGGATAGACCACAGACGAGGGGGCTATAGGATAGACTACGGACGGTTGATAGACCACAGATGAGGGGGCTATAGGATAGACGACGGTCGGTTGATATACCACGGACGGTTGAAAGAGCACAGACGAGGGGGCTAAAGGATAGACGACGGACGGTTGGTAGACCACAGACGAGGGGGCTATAGGATAGACGGCGGCGGACGGTGGATAGACCACAGACGAGGGGGCTATAGGGTAGATGACGGACGGTTGATAGACCACAGACGAGGGGGCTATAGGAAAGACGACGGTTGGTTGATAGACTACAGACGAGGGGGCTATAGGAAAGACGACGGACGGTGGATAGACTACAGACGAGGGGCTATAGGATAGACGACGGACAGTTGATAGAGCACAGACGAGGGGGCTATAGGATAGCCGACGGACGGTTGATAGACTACAGACGAGGGGGCTATAGGAAAGACGACGGACGGTGGATAGACCACAGACGAGGGGGCTATAGGGTAGACGACGGACAGTTGATAGACCACAGACGAGGGGGCTATAGGAAAGACGATGGACGGTGGATAGACTACAGACGAGGGGGCTATAGGGTAGACGACGGACAGTTGATAGAGCACAGACGAGGGGGCTATAGGATAGACGACGGACGGTGGATAGACCACAGACGAGGGGGCTATAGGATAGACGATGGACAGTTGATAGACTACAGACGGGGGGCTATAGGATAGACGCCGGACAGTTGATAGACTACAAACGAGGGGCTATAGGATAGACGACGGACGGTTGATAGACCACAGACGAGGGGGGCTATAGGATAGACGACGGAAAGTTGATAGAACACAGACGAGGGGGCTATAGGATAGACGCCGGACGGTTGATAGACCACAGACGAGGGGGGCTATAGGATAGACGACGGACAGTTGATAGACTACAGACGAGGGGGCTATAGGATGGACGACGGACGGTGGATAGACCACAGACGAGGGGGCTATAGGATAGACGACGGACAGTTGATAAACTACAGACGAGGGGGCTATAGGATAGACGACGGACAGTTGATAGAACACAGCCGAGGGGGCTATAGGATAGACGACGGACGGTGGATAGACCACAGACGAGGGGGCTATAGGTTAGACGACGGACGGTGGATAGACTACAGACGAGGGGGCTATAGGGTAGACGACGGACGGTGGATAGACTACAGACGAGGGGGCGATAGGGTAGACGACGGACAGTTGATAGAGCACAGACGAGGGGGCTATAGGATAGACGACGGGCGGTGGATAGACCACAGACGAGGGGGCTATAGGATAGACGACGGACGGTGGATGGACCACAGAAGAGGGGGCTATAGGATAGACGACGGACGGTTGATAGACCACAGTCGAGGGGGGCTATAGGATAGACGACGGATGGTGGATAGACCACAGACGAGGGGGCTATAGGATAGACGACGGACGGTCGATAGACTACAGACGAGGGGGCTATAGGATAGACGATGGACAGTTGATAGACTACAGACGGGGGGCTATAGGATAGACGCCGGACAGTTGATAGACTACAGACGGGGGGCTATAGGATAGACGACGGACGGTTGATAAACCACAGACGAGGAGCCTATAGGATAGACGACGGGCAGTTGATAGACCACAGATGAGGGGGCTTTAGGATAGACGACGGACGGTTGATAGACCACAGACGAGGGGGCTATAGGATAGAAGACGGGCAGTTGATAGACCACAGATGAGGGGGCTTTAGGATAGACGACGGACGGTGGATAGACCACAGATGAGGGGGCTATAGGATAGACGACGGACGGTGGATAGACCACAGACGAGGTGGCGATTTGAACAGCCTACCAGCTGATGATGGTGAAGTAAAAATCAAAGCTAAATTAAAAAAGGACAATTTGAAAACTTTTTAATCAAATTTATTTTATTATTGATTTAAAATTAAATAACATTTACAAATAATACACTTAATTCTCTCTTAGTGAGATAGGAACTTATAAACCACAGCTGTTGAAAGAACTTGGTTTCAATGATGTTTCAAACTAAAGATGAATTGATAATTCACTGGTAAACATGTTATAAAATACAAATTCAGTAAACTTAAAAAATATATCAGTACTAAGATAAAAAAAAGTTAGCTATGGATTCTATAATTCTGGAAAAAGAATGAAAAAGTGTAATAGTGTATATTAAATGATTTAGTTGCTGGAGTCCTTTAAGTGTGATGAACATACTATTTACAAGTCTAGATACTTGTACTCATGATTGCCTCCCCTTACCAATTAATGTGAAAATATGGATCACATGAAATATCAGTGGATTACATTAACATTGATGTAAAATAGAACAAAGGATTTACAATGGTAACAATAAAAACAACCTCAAACATCTTTGTTGTCACTCACGGTCACACCACTTACTTGGCATACATAATAATTTCTTTACTGATATTTGTGAGGCATCTTCTTAACTTTCAGACCAAACATATCCAAGTGCTTAGGTGACCCTATTTAACAACACGTTCTGAGATTCTGACTCATACACACTCGCAGCAAATATTGCATTGATCTGTCCAATAAACATCTCTAGATCTTCATGTAACAACAAAATTAAAACCTCAATCATAGGTCACTTAAGGTGTGATATATGGGAAGTCAGGTTATACACCTAGAGAACAGGTCAATTTAAGTCAAGTTAGTTCAAGTTTCAAGTTCTTTATTTGCTGAAGTTTTACAACTTATGGCAATTACAGATTAGACAAAGACACTCACAAGGACACACTCACACTGACTCGGAAACATGACTCATCATCATTAAGAACACTCACACTAACTCACACATCATCCTCATCGTCATTATCCTCATCTTCATCAACATCATCATCATCATCATCATCTCATCATCATCATCATCATCTCATCATCATCATCTCATCATCATCATCATCATCATCATCATCACATCATTACATCATCATCATCATCATCAATCATTCGTCATTCATCATACTCACATTCATACACACGCCAGAACAATTCTTCACCCTCATTCACCCATACAAGACTTATCAATATAATGGTATATTACATAATTTGTATACAATAAACTGATGTACAACATGTATCTTAACATGACCTGTTCTATTGATGACCTCTTAATAAATCTGCTCTACGTTTATTGCTAGTGATAAATACTTTCCTAAATTATTAAGTTCTTTTGTGTTTTCGATTTTGAGTAATTGACCAAATTTATACATACTAGGCCTTTTGAAATAATATTTCTTTATGTATTTAGACCGGAGGTCTGAATAGCGATAACATTTAATTATAAAATGAAGTTCATCTTCTATATCATTTTCATTACATAAATACATTTTCTTTCTTCTCTAGGTATATCTCTGTAACGGCCACGTTCAATAGACAGGTCATGCGCACATAAACGTATCTTAGAAATATGTTTTAAATAATTAAAATTAATTGCCTTATGAAGATATGGTTGCAATTTAATACTTTCCTCTAAATGCTGATATAATACTCCTTTTGAAGAAGAATGAACTTTCTCTAGACAATCTTGCTGAAAACTATCACATAATCGCTGCTTATATACTTCACTAGAATGATAAATACTATCAGTCACAAACATGTATCCAAGGCCGACTCTTGAAAGATCATGTTTTAAGTTAAGGATCCAGGGGTCTTTATTTTCAACCATATCAACATAACAAGCTTAATTTCAGCACACAATTATCAGAACGTTGTAATTTAATCCAATACTTAAAATTTTAACTTTTCTTAACAGCTCTAAATGAGATCTTCCAAATTCAATATAAAGAAATGCAGAGTTTGTAGATTTTCTTAATCCTAATAATGATTTCAAAAATCCAATATGCAATTTTTCTATTTCGGGTGCTTTATGAAATCCCCAAATTTCTGAACCGTAAATTAAAATACTATTCACAAACGTGTCAAAAACAGCAAGACGAGATTCTATATTAAAATAATTCTTATTACGTACATTATTTATGGCAAATAGTGCTTTCGACCTTGTTCTGCAAGGTTTTTTTGTGTTTTTGTAAATTTTCCATTATAATTTAAAGTGAGACCAAGATAATTAAACTCATCAACTACTTCAATCGCATCATTATTATAAAACCATTTTTGCTCTTAGTCAACCTCCATTTCTAAAGATAACTATTTTTGTTTTATCTACATTTAAAGTTAAGCTCCATTTTCTACAGTAATCTGCTAGTGAATCTAACATTTTCTGCAAGTCTTCTGGTGTTTCCGATAGTATGACCATATAGTCAGAGACGCTGATTTCAGATTTCATTGCATGTTTTTGAAATCAATGACCTTGTTTTTGAATATTGAAAAGAGCATATTACAGACATAAACAAATGGACCTGATGTTTGGGAATAGCTGATTTGTAACAATGAATGTTGACAATACGTGTATATTGGAACTGTGTTAGTGACACAATTAGTGATTTTTCTGTTCGCTTGAGTGGTTTACCCCTATACTCTACTGGGTAGTTCATTATAGCAGATTTACTGTTTTTGATTTCCCTTTTATATGTACACAAGGTCCATGCCCAATATGTATGGGTAGATCAGGTGTTTGGAACAGTCTACTTGAGAATATAGGGGAAGTCAGGTTATACACCTAGAAAACAAGTCATTAGTACAGAGACTCTGATTTCAGATTTCATTGCAGGTTTTAGAAATCAATGACATTTTCCTTGAAGATTGAAAAGAACATATTTCACACCAAAAAAAATGGACCTGATGTTCTGGTATGGCTGTTTGTTAAATTTAATGATGACATTATTTTGAAACAACACTTCTAAACAGAAGTTGTAACAGAAACTATTTACAAAACCTGTAAACAATAAACCTGTGACATGTTTACATTAATTCCTCAAACATGATATTATTAGTCTGTATAAGTGTTGATCAAGTGTATAAGATCATAATAACAAAGGTTATTGTTCAATGTTAAAATTAATGTATTTTTTGTATTTATTTGGTATAATTAGTCTGTAGCATCACTCCAAGTTTAGTCAATCATCAGTCACTGTAATACTTGAGAAGTTTGAGTCCAGACTCTCCTGTATCTGACATTAAGGTTGACCACAACACATCATCCTTCTGTATACCTACTTGTCCCTGTCCTCCTTTGTTTGTGTGAAGCGTTTTTATGTACTTCCCTGCTCCACTTATCAGTTCTATTGTGCCCCTTGTCCAGTCAGCAATAACAATATTACCCTTACTGTCATATACAACTGTTACTGGATCAAACTTGTCTGGTGTGATCGCCTCTCGTGCCTGTATCCCCTCTCCCTGGTAGTGGACCAGGGACTGGAGTGTTGGGTTGTACACAGTGATGTGACGCCTGTAGTTGTTTGGATCACTACTGTCTCCACTGATTAGTTTACTACTCACTATAGCTATGTTACCTGTAACACCACACTGTGAGATGGACAGTACTGACCCCGTCCCTGACCCCTCCACAGTGGATGTGTGTAACACCTGGCCATCTGCTGTGTACATCACCACCTTGTACCCCTGTGTACCCGATGTACCCACCACTACCAGACCCTCCCTGGTCACACACAGACTGCATGGGTACCCCTCTGTAGTAAACCTTGTGACTGGTGTAGATGATGTAGATACTTCGTAGATAGTCCTCTCATCTCTACAACAGAACCACAGACGGCCTGTGGTGGGGTCCAGACTGATGACAGCAATGTCACTGTTGTATTGTATCTTCAGTATGAGTCGACCTTTGTTGTTGATGAGGTTTACTGTGTTGGTGTGACAATCACACAGCCATGCACGTCCATTAGATGTAGGACAGATTGATGAAATAACATCTGGGTATGAAAACTGGGATATGACAGTTGGACTGTCACAGAGTTTGTACAGGACTGATCCAGTGGAGGCTTGACCCGTCTCTGTAGCTTTGGACTGTTTAGGTCTCACAACTGGACCATGTTTGGAGTGACCACTAGGTGCTGATCCTGCCTGGAAATGGTCAGTAGGAGTCTTCATTTTCCCCATGGCCTGCTCCAGGTGACTTTGTCTGTCGTTATCTGGAGTTAACTCTGTCATGTCTATGTTAGGTGTCTGTGGGATATCTAAGTCCATGTCCTGGATTTCTGATAACGAGTCATAAACAAGTACAGCAGTGCCTGTCTGGAGGGTCTGTTTACACTCTGATGAGAGTTTCACTAAAGCGTCTAACTTGTCCTCCAGGTTTGTGATGTGAGTCTGAAGGAGGTCTGTGGTCCCCTTCTCCATCTTCTTACATATTGCTAAATAATCCTCAGTTATTTTATCTAAATCTAGTTTACATTGATCGCGCTGTTTTTTTATATTTACAGAGAGTTTTTTGTAGTTAGATTCACTTGTCGAAATTGTGTTCCATGCCGATTGGATTTCATTTTTGAGTTTGGGAATTTCAATGTTTTCAGTTTTATTCATAAAGTCCAGTAGCGTATTTCTTTGTTTATTTGAAATTTTCGAGATTTCACAAAAACTGTCAATATGTCTTTTGTGAGCTGTTATGGAACAAGTGATGCAGATCAGTATTCCACAGTCCTGACAGAGGAGAACCACCTCATTGTCCTTATGGTACGGACACTTTGTGTGGCCTTTGATCCTGAGTGGAATTTGTTGACTGGGGCTGCTGTGTTTGGTTGCCATGGTTGTGGATGTGGGAGAAATAAAAGTGTACAGGGAGGTAACTTCTGGAGGATCCTGAGGTCTTCTTTTGTGTACCTGTGAAAGAAAAAATAATAATTAAATGTTGTATTGATTAAAATATGTGACAGTTTAAATTTGAATTTGAATTGTTTAGTTAAACAGATGAGTTATACTATATAACGCCAAACATTGTTCTGTACCGAGTTATACTATATAACCCCAAACATTGTTCCGTACCGAGTTATACTATCTAACGCCAAACTTTGTTCTGTACCGAGTTATACTATATATCGCCAAACATTGATCTGTACCGAGTTATACTATATATAACCCCAAACATTGTTCCTGTTTCTTGAGTAGGGATAGAGGGATTTTTACCACATTGTTTGTGGAGTATGCTCAGGGCAGGTGTAACGTACCAGCTTTGGAGCGGAGGAGAAACATAGGTTAATCTATAAAATCTTGCCCTTTGAGTACAGGTTATGGTATTTTATTCTAATTTGTTTTGAACCTCATTTGCATTTGTTGATTCAACATTGCATAAATAGAAGATGTTGAACACCCACCCCCCACCCCCCTCAAGGAACACCACACCACGGAGGGTGTGGTGTTCCTTGAGGCAGAGGGATAGGATGCTATATGGGAAATACTGTAGTTGTTTGAAATACTCCTTTTTAGTGGAGTAAATGGATTTTAACCTGGATCTGTCTCGAGCGTCTTTGGTCCAAGGGGACTTATCATTGTATGAAAGGAGAGTGTGACCTTCCCGGTGGCAGAGGGACATGGCCCAGTAGTAGAAATACAGATACATCTTTAAAATCCTAATATTTGAGAATGGGGAATTTTCCTATTTGATTCAGAGCATCCTTTGCCTAAGCGGGGGCCATCTTTGTATTAACAAAAGGGTGACCTGGAGAGTTCTTAGGTCCTTTTAAAACTTAAAATTGGTTGACAGGGAAAAAGTAGGACGAGACTTTCAGTAAATTATCATCCATCTATCTATCAGAGTTATAATGGAAGTAACAAACCATAGCAAGTGAGCTATTCAGACCACATGGCCTCTTGTTAATCTGTACATATTGTTTGCATACATATTGATGTCTTTGGTAATGTAACAATAGCTAAACATCAGACTTGCGGTGACATTCTTAGCGTGTCACGAACTATTTTCTGTAACACGTACGTTATTAGATTACATCTGATAGATAGATTCCAGCCAACACAAGAATTTTTAATGTCGCGTTTGTTACTGTATTTGGTTAACATGATTCTCCAAAATTGTAAGGAACTATTTCTTAATATTTCGTAGCTGAAAATCTTGATTTTCCCCTACAAACATGTTTTTGATTTTTGATAAATTAAAGTATGACTACTCTTTCTGTTATGTGACCTGCAAAAAGAAGGTCCCTGCTGTCGCAAATATATTTCATTTCTGCTTCACGTACAAATTAAATATATGCGTTTTTGGTTTTTATAGCGTCAAAGATTTATCTTATACTCCTAATGATAAAAGAAATTTTGAAATCGCACCAGTTGACGGTTTAGTCCTTTCGCGTAATGGTACATACAAACAATATGTATACTACATGTACTTGTTACTTAAAACAAATTTTTCACTTTCGATTCTGATATCACCTTGACCTTGAAAAGTTATTTGTTCTTTTATTCGTCAAGATATCGGTTTAGTTCTAGAAATATAATTTTACTTACAATAGATAACAACTTATAAATTGCCTGTCAGAAATTTCTGAATGCATAACGTCCAGCTCTTCATGATTTTTGACAACTTTAGGCTAAAAGCCATGAATGTGACCTTGCATGGAAATGTAACCCTGATTTGGCTTCCGTTAAACAAGAACAAAAAGTAATGCTTAGCAAGAAATTGCTATCTGTTAGATAATCTTTACCGAAATTCAAGTTACATTTTACATTGACATAAGTTATTTAACCTACCGGCCCCTCACTCTTTCTTCACTACAAGTCTTAAAGCCTCCCTCACCTTATAGGTACCTCTCATTCATTCCTTGCCTTCATCAAGTTCTTTGAAAACAAGTGATATCCAAGAAGAATCTGGGCACCAAATATTGCAAGATCTTCATTAGTTATATGTAACGTGGAACTCCCCCTCATTTCTCTTGGATTGTAACTTTTGGTTCACATTCGATTTGGTCCTTTCAATGTTATGGTTTTTTTTAACTTTCTGACCTATTTATTTGTAAATGTATTGAAAGAAAGTGATTTTTAGTAGTTTTCCTTCTAATAGAAAGCGTATTTGTCAAAAAGGATTTGGAACTGACAAGTAGAAAGCTTTATGACAAAAAGGGTCTTGTAACTGACCAATAGAAAGTGTTATGGTCAGAGAGGATATGTAACTGACCAATAGAAAGTGTTATGGTCACAGAGGATGTGTAACTGACCAACAAAATGTGTATTTGTCAGAAAGGATTTGGAACTGACAAGTAGAAAGCATAATGACAAAGAGGGTCTTGTAACTGACTAATAGAAAGTGTTATGGTCAGAGAGGATGTGTAACTGACCAATAGAAAGAGTTATGGTCAGAGAGGATGTGTAACAGACCAATAGAAAGTGTTATGGTCACAGAGGATTTGTAACTGACCAATAGAAAGTGTTACGGTCAGAGAGGATGTGTAACTGACCAATAGAAAGAGTTATGGTCAGAGAGGATGTGTAACAGACCAATAGAAAGTGTTATGGTCACAGAGGATGTGTAACTGACCAATAGAAAGTGTTATGGTCAGAGACAAGAGGATGTGTAACGGACTGCTAAAACGTTAAATGGCCAGAAAAAAAGGGAAATGAACAGATTGGTCTTGTAACTGACCAATATAAAGTCTTATGATCATAGAGGATGTGTAACTGACCGGTAAAACGTCTAATGGCCAGAAAAAAGGGAAATTAATAGATTGGTCTTGTAACTGACCAATAGAAAGTGTTATGGTCAGAGAGGATGTGTAACTGACCAATAGAAAGTGTTATGGTCAGAGACAAGAGGATGTGTAACGGACTGCTAAAACGTTAAATGGCCAGAAAAAAAGGGAAATGAACAGATTGGTCTTGTAACTGACCAATAGAAAGTGTTATGGTCAGAGAGGATTTGTAACTGACCGATAAAACGTCTAATGGCCAGAAAAAAGGGAAAGGAACAGATTGGTCTTGTTACTGACCAATAGAAAGTGGTATGGTCAGAAAGGATGTGTAACTGACCCCTAAAACATTTAATGGCCAGAAAAAAGGGTAATGGACAGATTGGTTTTGTAACTGACCACTAGAAAGTGTAAATAACAACAAGGTCTTCCTTCTGATCACTAGAGAGTGTAATGGCTAGAAAGGACTAGTTACTGACCAATAGAAACTTAACGGACAAAAAGGTCTTGTTACTCAGACCACTAGAAAGTGTAATTAACAGATTGGTCTTGTAACTGACTACTAGAAAGTGTAATTAACAGATTGGTCTTGTAACTGACTACTAGAAAGCGTAATGGCTAGAAAGGACTAGTTACTGACCAGTAGAAACTTAACGGACAAAAATGTCTTGTTACCGACCACGAGAAAGTGTAATTAGCAGATCGGTCTTGCAACTGACTACTAGAAAGCGTAATTAACAGATTGGTCTTGTAACTGACCACTAGAAAGTGTAATGGCTAGAAAGGACCAGTTTACTGACCAATAGAAACTTAACAGACAAAAAGGTCTTGTAACTGATCACTGGAGAGTATAATGGCTATAGAAAGGACTAGTTACTGACCAATAGAAACTTAACGGATGAAAATGTCTTGTAACTGACCACTAGGGAGTGTAATGGTTATAGAAAGGACTAGTTACTGGCCAATAGAAACTTAACAGACAAAAAGGTCTTGTAACTGATCACTAGAAAGTGTAATGGCTAGAAAGAACTAGTTACTGACCAATATAAACTTAACGGGTGAAAATGTCTTGTAACTGACCACTAGAGAGTGTAATGGCTAGAAAGGACTAGTTACTTACCAATAGAAACTTAGCAGACAAAAAGGTCTTGTAACTGATCACTAGAGAGTGTTAGAGGCCAGAAAGGACATGCAACTGACTGTCATATAAGTGATAAGAGATAAGTGTATATGTAAGTTTAATCAGAGAAATTAATAAAGAGAACATTCAAAGCCTTTTTTGTTAGAATTTTTACTCAACTATTCAAAATTCAGTTATATAACTCCATATAATTGTCTTGTTAGGTTTTCACCGCTCTTGGTGAACAATTGGCGTCCTCACTGGTGACAAAAATAACACCTTGTTGTTAGGCAAGTAATCTTTGTTGTGGTCATCGTAACTACTAAGGGTAGTAGCTGGGTCTGGGTATTGAATTATGATAAAGGCTGTGTTACGTCTATATATTGATATTTAAACTATAGTATGTTCTTAACAGAAATTAAAGGAAAGTTTTTTGTGGAACTTTATATAGAATTTAAATCTTTGTCATAGAAATGGCTTTAATGTGTCATTCGAATCAACGCTATTAAAATATGAATAAGGACATATAGATAGGATTTGGTCTGATGCCTTATTACATGCATGAAATATCACTACTCTTTACCACTAACTGACCAATAGGAAGAAAGATATGGTCAAAATGGTCTTCTTTCTGACCAATAGGAAGTATAATATGGTCAGAAAGGTCTTCTAACTGACCGACTGACCTTTGGCCAATCAAGACTTACCCTTTACCAGTAGAGTGTTATGGTTTATAACTGATCAGTAGAGTGGTATGGTTTATAACTGACCAGTAGAGTGTTATGGTTTATGACTGACCAATAGAGTGTTATGGTTTATAACTGACCAGTAGAGTGGTATGGTTTATAACTGCCCAGTAGAGTGGTATGGTTTATAACTGACCAGTAGAGTGTTATGGTTTATAACTGACCAGTAGAATGTTATGGTTTATAACTGACCAGTAAAGTTTTATGCTTTATAACTGACCAGTAGAGTGTTATGGTGTATAACTCATCAATAGAATGTTATGGTTTATAACTGACCAGTAGAAAGCTATTGCTATAAAGACAGCCCTATAACAAACCAATGGTCTAAGTTAAGTTAGAGAAATAAATTCAAACAAAAATTGATCCTAAACTTATTACATCACATTATGTACTTACAAACTGTCCAAATTCAGTGACGTCCAAACAAACTTGATGTGATCAGATTTTCCTCAGCTCCTTCAGTTTCAGTGTTATTTTTCATAAAATTGACTTTCTCAGTTTAACAACTCCTGGTTGTGAAATGGCGTCCTTGCTCACTGGTGAAATCTAGAGAAATAAAACCAGATTTTAAGAGAAGCAAAACTTGTATATAATATTGACAGTGTGTGTTCCCCGTAACTACCAACGGATACGTTCATGCCTTGCCCTCTAATTATACCTGGTTGATAGGGAAGTATAACTTTGTTGTATATATAATATAGGCAGTATGTATTCCCGTCATTACCTACAGATAAAATCACGCCTGGCCTTCTTTGTACCTGGTTGATAGGGAAGTAGAACTTTGTTGGATATAATATAGACAGTATGTATTCCCCGTAATTACCCACAGATACGATCACACCTGACATTCTATATACCTGGACATGACCTTATGTCTTTAGTTACGTCAATCCTTTGTTAGCTCCTTCTCCATACATGACTAGATATTTAATACACGGTATTGCCTCTACCGAAATGTTTTGTGTGACATTCTGCAGAACAGTTGAACAGTTAAATCATAGCTCTAGAAATTCTGTCATTGAAATATTAAATACACATTAGATTATACCCCAAGGTTTCGTCTTTAATGCCTGCTGATTTTCTTTGTGGTAAGGGTTATATTTCCCTCTTCAAGGAGTGTGATTGTTGGAATTGTCTTGTTACTGACAAGTAGGGAGTGTGATGGTTCGAATAGTCTTGTAACAGACCTGATGGAAGTGTGGTGGTTAGAATGGTCTTGTTACTGACCAGTAGGGAGTGTGATGGTTAGAATGGTCTTGTTACTGACCAGAAGGGATTATTATGGTTGATAACTGACCAGTAGAGTGTTATGGTTTATAACTGATCAGTAGAGTGTTATGGTTTATAACTGATCAGTAGAGTGTTATGGTTTATAACTGATCAGTAGAGTGTTTCGGTTTATAACTGACCTGTAAAGTTTTATGGTTTATAACCCATCAGTAGAGTGTTATGGTTTTTAAGTCATCAGTAGAGTGTAATGGTTTATATCTGACCAGTAGAGTGTTATGGTTTATAACTGACCAGTAGAGTGTTATGACTATCAGCCTTGTAACAGACCAATCGTCTTAGTTTGGCTAGAGAAATAAATTCAAACAAAAAATTATCCTAAACTCATTACATCAGATTATGTACTTACAGACTGTCCAAATTCAGTGACGTCCGAACAAACTTGATGTGATCAGATTTTCCTCAGCTCCTTCAGCTTCGGGGTTATTTTCACAAAATTGACTTTCTAAGTTTCACAGCTCCGGGTTGTCAAATGGCGTCCTTACTCACTGGTGACAGCCAGAGGAATAAAACCTGATTTTAAGGCAAGCAAAACGTGTTGTGTATAATATACATGTAGGCAGTGTGTATTCCCCGTAACTACCCACAGATACAATCACGCCTGGCCTTCTTTATACCTGGTTGATAGGGAAGTAGAACTTTGTTGTATATAATATAAACAGTGTGTATTCCCCGTAATTACCCACAGATACAATCACACCTGACCTTCTATATACCTGGACATGACCTTATGTCTTTAGTTACGTCAATCCTTTGTTAGCTCCTTTTCCATACATGACTCGATATCTAATACAAAGTATTGCCTCTACGGAAATGTTTTGTGTAACATTCTGCAGAATAATGGAACAGTTAAATCATAGCTGTATAAATTCTGTCATTGAAATATTTCAGAGTGATATTTTCTTACCAATATAAAATTAAATGGGCGGATCGGGAGAGTGGTAAACACTTCGGCCTTCCACGCAGGCGACCAGGGTTCGATCCTCGAAGTCGTCGCACGTATGGAATATCAGAAAAAGTGTTTTTCTCCTGTCAACACAACTCCAACAACCCAGGTGGAGTATAGAATGTTCTGGGGTGGATGTTGTGGTATCTGTGATGTAGCATTTAAGTGAGGTGGCACTATAAAGATGCCGTTGGAAGAACGGTCCCACTACAAACAGAACACAATACATCTCCAGCACACACGCAGACATACATACATAGAGAGATATTAGCCAGGTGGCATATGACAAGTAGTTAGCGCCTGATAAGGCAGCACCTGCGAATGCATCAAAAATTGTATATCCTAATTGTATTAATTGTATATCTATGTACTGTAAAGCGCTTTAGAGTGACTTATGTTAGCTAGATAGGGCGCTATATCAAATGTTGTATACTATTATAATCATAAATAACTTTATGGTCAGATGATCTTGTAACAGACCAATGGATAGTTATGGCCAGAATCCTTTAGTAACTGACCAGTGGAATCAGATGGCTGGAGCGATCTTGTGTCATGGCTATATACTTTAAATGGCCATACAAATGACCAATATAAGGAAACCGCCGAAATGGTCTTGCAACTGACCAACTCAGAAAGAGTTGTTACATTTCTCTGACTTCACTTTCTCGTACCACTCTTTGATGCATTGTTGCTTTTATTCTATTTAGTTTTGATTCCGTAATTGTAACACAGCATACAAGTTTTCCTCAAGTTAATAAATGTTTTATTCAGAGAATGATTTAATTAAGGTAGTTTTCATACAGGTGTACACAACCAGTTATACCTATATTGTTCCTATTTTCCAGGGTGTCATGTGTCGACTGTCTTGTGTGAGGCAGAGGTTTGCCTCCCGATCTTGTAGGAAGTCTGTTATGATCGGCATGACACTCAACAAAACAGAAATGTAAAAGGTAAAAAATACATTACTGTCTATATCTGTCCTGTCTCTCCGTACAAACATCACTGTTTAACCTTTTGTCACCTCTCGCATGTATTCATTGAAAATACCTCCTATGATTTCTTCTGTAAATGGTTTTAAGGTACCTGGTAAGCCCAAAATTACAAGTGAGATAGTGTAAGCTGTCAATTCTGTGTCCAATAGAATTATTATAAAGCTGGCATGGTCAGGGATACAAGATGTTATGAGTGGTGGACTTGACAATGTTATAAAAGCTGACATGGTCAGGGATACAGGATGTTATGAGTGTTGAACTTGACAAGCCTGTATAAAGCTGCTTAAGTATCTGTAAGCAATGTTTTTCATTTCGGTTGGTAATTTCCTGAAATAATGTGAGAAAACAGTTGCACACCTAGGGCAGATGAGTAAGTTGAAGGAGAATTTACCAGGAAATGACGTCTGGCTAATGTTGTATGCTACATGTACCTCACATATTATACCTTATTTTTGTTTTTTCCTTAAAAACTGCCAAGTAAATGCTAACTTATATAGAGCAAAATTAGTGATCAATGCACTCATTTCTGAATTTCTAATTTTCTTTCAAATGTTTGAATTGCCATTTCACTCGGTCAAATTTAAAAATTGTGAAATGTTTGTTTTACAAGTTTTGTGATAAATGCATGTAGCGTACACCCTTAAATTTACGAATAATTTGTCATGGAAACTGTTGTAGGGACAAACATTAAAATTTAAACGTAATTTTTTTTTTTTTGTAATTGTTTATTTTTCGACGATTTTTTCATAATACATATAATCATGAAAAGAAACACACACACACACACACATCCAAACTTACAGAGCATATATGCTAGCACGAGATAACTTATTATACAACCATCATATTCTGCATATTTATTTATTAAAATATTTCCTCATTCTCCTACCCCTAGATGATATGCGCTAAGAAGAATAATTCAAACTTCCAAGCCTAGCATAGTATATGTATCACTGTTCACCAACACACACACACATATCACAATGTGTACATGATCATTTGAGCACTGATATATCTACATTGTGGACACTTATACATGTTACTGCACTGTATACATGTTCGATAGTAGCTATTTAATTGTACATACATGAATATGTACAATATGTAAACACACATGCATACACATAAGACTTGTATGCGGTCAGCTGTCTACACATATTGACACTCATATGCCTCATACCTAGCTGTATCTATATAATTCATCTTTTACACACCCACACACACACACACACACACACACCATCCACCACACAACACACCATAACAAACTCTCAGACACCTATCCATTACACAGGTTAATACACACATCACTCTCTTACTTTAGAACCATAAATAATAGTATACATCTGTTGTGTACATCAAACCTACTATACTTATATAAGAGTAAAATCAGTAGTATAAGTTTAGAGAGAGAGAGAAGGAGTGAGAGGGAGAGAGAAAATGAGAGAGAAGAGAGAGAGAGGGGAGGCAATCTTACATGTAAAAATTGTATATACTTAAGTAGCTAGTGACTTAATCAGAAACTGCTGAGGCCTTGGATATATACTGTATACAAAAAATAAATTAAAACACAGGAAAAATAAATTAACAAAACAGCTATATATCTATAATAGGTTTCCATTTTCTCCAACCTGTTTCAAATTTCATTTTGACATGCTCACTTTTACCGTTATTAATATAGTTTTGGACAATGAAATGATCTTTAATAACATTAATTAGTGCATTGAGATTTAAAGATTTGCAGAGACATCTAGTCTTGTATATATAATGCTTGATAAGAATTAAAATTTCATTATCAACAAAGCTGGAAAGGTGTGAAACTATTCCAAAAAGGAAGGATTCCTTATTAAATGAAAACGGGATAAAAAATAGATCCAGCAGAGTTTCAAATCTCTGCAGTAATTTCTGCACTTCTCGACATTCCCAAAGACAATGAATTATTGTTTCATGTTCTATATTACACAAAGTACATAACAGACTAGGGGTTAAGTTAATTTTAAACAGAAAGGTGTTTGTTGCCAAAATGTGATGTAAAATTCTGACTTGGAACCACTGTAATTTTGCACTTTTTGTTACTGTAAAAGGAATTATGAANTAAAAAATAAAATTATTACCCACTTGAATATCTTTGTTATACCATAGGGGAGTTTTTAACATTGATTCACTTCTACTGTAGGTTTGTCTCATAAATTTGGAATTATTCAGTCTAACCCATCCTTTAAAAACATCCTTCCAAAATGGGTTAAGACAGGTATTTACACATGTCATAATGTATTCTTTTCCACAATTAATCATTTTTTTAGGATCCAAAATTAGATTCAAAAGCTGATTCCATTTTCCAGATGGCTGGAACAGTCTTCTAATCCAACCTAGCTTAAGAGAATCTATAGAAGCATGTACATCAATCATCTTTAATCCCCCATTTATATAGTTTTGAATCACAACTTCTTTTTTAATCCTATGACTTTTGCCATTCCATAGAAAATTGAATAACAAAGAATTCAACTTAGCAATATATTTTTCGGATGGATTTGGCAAAGTGATAAACAGGTAATTAAGTTGGGAAATCAACAAAGACTTTATGATACTAATTCTACCTAATGGAGTCAAACTCCGTCTATTCCAATTATTAATAAGAGCTTTAAGTTTAACAACCTTTTTGTCAAAATTCATTCTTGGAATCTCACTTAAATCTACGGAAAAATCTATACCCAAAAAGTTGAACTTACCCTTCCCCCATTGTAGATGCAAGTCTGGTTTAAAATTTAAACGTAAATTATGTGGAACCCAGATTTTGGATAGTAGTAAAAATTTAGAAAACAATTAAGAGTACCGCGGGGTGGAACAATATACGCCCGTCGAATGCCATATTGTGTTATATATTTTCTTACATTGAAATAAGATCTGCATCATTCTAAGGGTGGTTAGCTGACATGCTATAAAAACTGTAGAAGAAAATCTCTGGACAAAAATCAAATACTGAAATGAACAAAGGGCAATAACTTTTGCAAAAATCGTCGAATCAAAATTCTTGTAAGGGAGACACAACTTCTTACCATGATTATAATATATACCAAGTTTCAAAGAGATCGGTCGAAAAATGTAGGAGGAGATTGCCGCACAAACAAAAGTTTACGCCGGACGGACGGACGGACGGACGGATGACTCCATACCATAGTACTTCCGTCAGATTCAGATTCTTTATTTCCTTATGTTTACAACACATCGGAGAGTAGACATACATATGTACAAGATATCACAATGTATAACACAAATTACAGTTGGTGCATTAGTGTACAATGCATAACATAGATTATTAAAACACAATATACCTGTATGTGGGTATAACATACAGAACATGCAGTATTATATTTAGTTTAAACAATATTATTTCGTCGTTTTGTACTTAAATGCAAAAATTTGCCTAGGTTATTTAGATCTTTAACGATTTTGGTATTGAACAGTTCTATTAACTTGAAAACACTTGGTCGTTTGTAAAAATAAGGTTTAATATATTCATGCCTAAAATCCTCATAAAATTTGCATTTAAGTATAAAATGGAATTCATCTTCAACATCATTAGCGTTACAGAATGTACAAAGTCGTTGTTCTCTTGGTTGATTTCTGTACCTGCCTTGCTC